CACAGTTCCAATATATCAGTCTCTTTCCTTAATGTAACTTTACTTTTTTTTTTTTTTTTTAAATCATAAGGGTACTTTCTCTTTCTGCTCTCTACCCCTTCTCAAATGACTCTAGCATTCAACATCACTACTTTTTAGGTAGTTGTGCTGAAGGGGAAGATAACCAACTTCTATAAAAACAGCAGACTAAGATAGTTCTTTTAACTCAGTGACCATCAAGGAAATAGGTGCCAAAACAAAACAATAAGTGGGGTCTATGTATTTTTAAAGTAATTTAATAACACTAGGGAGGAAGTTATATCCAGCCCTTGTAGGAGCTCATTCAATTATCAGTAAAGAGTGTTTTACACATGGTTAGGACAACTGCTACACTCCTTTTTTGAATATATAAGAGCAGTACCACATAATCATAGAAAATTAGGGCTGGAAGGGACCTCTGGAAGTGTAGTGCAAGCCCAATGCCTGAGGCAGGATCATCCCCATCCAAAACTTACTATACAAATCCTTGTCTAACCTACTAATAGAACATGATCAACAGTCGCACAACTACAATGAATAGCACCTTAATCTGCCACAGGTCAAGTAGGGAAACAACAGTGGTTGCTGTCCTGCTGCTGTAAAGTTTGTTAAAATGTGCTTGAGAGATCCAAGGAAGAGGGTTATGTCCCCAGCTACAGAGGAAGGCAACCCCCGTCATAGTCCATACTAGCTTGGCTGTGGAGCAAAATTCCCTCCTAATCCCCAGATGTGATGACTGGTCTGATCCTGAATAGAGGGGCAGGGCCCTTTAACTAGAAACCTCTAAGTTTTAGTCCCAGCAGGAATACTAGCATCCCACAGGCAAAATGAAATAAAATGAATCTAGCCTTTCACTTAAGGAAACTTGGCACTCAGAGTGACTTACAATAAAGTTACATGTGTTTTAGACCCAATAAAAAGTTTATCTTAGTCCCTACTAAAGTTGCCTTTGGATTTATAATAGCCCCAAACTACATTTTAAAATTCACAATTTAGGAACAAAGCAGTGACCACCTTTTTTTCCCCCTGCTTCTCCTCCATTCCTTCTTTTGCCTGTTTGTTCTAGCAACTATAGCAGTCATGTTTTAGAGTCCTACCACTCCATTCTGCTCTGCTTTTTGCTGCTTAGATCGATACTGTACCATTGTGCTAGGTCATCTAGCCCCATACTGCACGGTCTACCCCTTAGCTTGTTGTCCTTTTCCAGGCTGAAGGGTATGGTCTTTAGCAGATGTCCTTCACCCAGATGCATCTGAACAGCTTGAGCATCCTCCTCTGCAACATTTTTTAAGCTTTCATATTTTTATGCAATTCCAGTCTCTGCTTTTGGAACCAGACAATTACCACCTTAAAATATATTTCAAACCTGAACAGAATGGCCAGAACTCAGTGATTTAATACCCTGACATCACTACCATTATTTAATCCACACTTGTCCATGTAACAGTTCAACAGAACAGTTTAAAACTCTTAACTCAAAAGTTGATTCTTCACTTTCGTAGCGCTCCTCCCTGTCTTCTATTTGGGGGTCTAAATTAGATCTGCAAGATTACCACTTCTCTAATTGTACATCATAATGCCTTCATAAAGAATGTCAAATGGCTACAAAGTCCTTTTAAAACTTATTTCTTGGTAATTAAATGCAGGTTGGTTTTTTTACTATAAAAGAGTGTTGAGCCTACCTGTTGTTCAACATGTTAACCATAAAATAAGAGCCTTTTTGTTTCTCATTCAAACTCACATGCACAGTATTAAACTAAACTGGAAGCATAATTCAGTTTCATGAAGGACCTCCTGGAAAACAACTGCACTGGAAGTAACATTTGATCTGAATATTAGGAGCTATTCTTTACCAAGAGTCAATCAATAGGTTACTGGGCTATGCTGCATGTCAGTACAAGTATGAACCTCTGCTGTGAGCAGCATTCTTCATAAGAAAGTAAAGTAGTTCTTTCTGCCCCATCTGGAATACAAGCTATTTAAATGGAATTGTCCCTGTTACTTCCTGAAAGCAACACAGGATAATGCCACAGTTCCAGTTAACAGTCTACTTCCTCTAAGTCTGATGCATTTAAGGCAGAGTACAAGAAGCACCACTGAGCAGACAATAAAAATGCAATAAGTTACAGAAATTCCTATCTGTAACTTGCTCCAAACTTCCAGTTTTATAAAGTCGAAACCAACATGTATGCAGGATGCTAATTCCATTATTCAGGGACTGTATTTTGTAAGTCTGAAGAATCAGGTATTATAATTTAACACTGCACAGTGTGCGTTAGTATACCAGATTTTTGCTCCCACCCCAACTTACTTGATATCTGGCCCCATAAGATGTCAACGACAGTTAATACAGGAGTGAAAACTAATTAAAAATTGGAGGGAGTTGTACATCTCAGGTGCTGAAACATTCTTTTCACAGTGTCAAACAACAGCATTTCCCACTCCAGCTTGGCTTTAAAACTAAAACTGAAGGTCACAACTATGGTTTCCGTGAACAATGCTTACAGAAGATGGAACAATCATTTTATTTTGAAGTCTTCAGCATGTCTCAGTACATACAGTGGTAAGTGCCCTTTTAGTAGCCCCAAGTGAGACAGCATCAACAGAAAATTCAGACCTTGATTCTAGGTGGCCAGTCTCATAGTCTCATCATCATCAAGAATCCCACAAAATCATTAACTGACCAAACTAGACTATTCAGGGCTTTAGCTTCTTGTAATGCATATCTATGTTAAAAACCCTGAGAATTGGGGTTGGGTTGATCAGCGGAGGGAATTTGGTAACACAGTTTAGAAGGGACAAGAAGTGACACAGATAAGCATTTAATTTTAACTTTAGGTGCCTAAGGTGGGATCGGAAAACAACTGTCTTGATACACAAATTAGCAGTTAACTATATGGAGTGCTCTCAAAATATCCAGTGCTTTTGGAAAAGGTGGGTTTCTGTGTCTCAAGACTTCTCTGGCTGTTTTCTCCATCTGCCCAGTCACAGAGAGACTGTTAACTGCATAGGTGGCTTTCTCTGCAGCCTATAGTAAGTCTGTCAGAAAACATTAGTCTGAAGATCAGTGGTTCTCAACCTGTTTAGACTCAAGGCACCCCTTTATAGCTCTGTGAAAATTAGTGGCATACCAGCTGAGAACCACTGAGCTAGAACCTGACTGATGCTAGGCGAGGAGGGTGGGGGTAGGACTTTACCCCACTGTGCTCTACTTTTTCCACTGCCTGTCCCCTCCCAGTCCCTGGTCTATACCCAAGGAGGAAAACATTGCACTTCTGGGGACTTGAACATGGGCAACTGGGGCCACGCAACCCCCCCCTGCCAGCCTCAGAAGCATGGGAGAAGGTGGGGTTGGAGGGACAAGCTGCCCAACCACCTGCCTGTCTGCATCCAGCA